AACTATAAGTGAACCATGCTTTGAAGCTGTTCCACATCAACTGAATGATGCTTTGAAGCTTGTCCACATCAACTGAAATATGCCTTGAAACTGTTCACATTAACTGAACCATGCTTTGAAACTGTTCCACATTAACTGAACCATGCTTTGAAGATGTTCCACATTAACTGAACCATGCCTTGAAGCTGTTCCACATTAACTGAGCCATGCCTTGACGCTGTTCCACATTAACTGAACCATACCTTGACGCTGTTCCACATTAACAGAACCATGCCTTAAAGCTGATCCACATTAACTGAGCCATGCCTTGAAGCTGTTCCACATTAACTGAACCATGCTTTGAAACTGTTCCACATTAACTGAACCATGCCTTAAAGCTGTTCCACATTAACTGAGCCATGCCTTGAAGCTGTTCCACATTAACTAAACCATGCTTTGAAACTGTTCCACATTAACTGAACCATGCCTTGATGCTGTTCCACATTAACTGAACCATGCCTTGAAGCTGTTTCACTTTAACTGAACCATGCCTTAAAGCTGTTCCACATTAACTGAACCATGCTTTGAAGCTGTTCCATATTAACTGAACCATGCCTTGAAGCTGTTCCATATTAACTGAACCATGCCTTAAAGCTGTTCCACATTAACTGAACCATGCCTTAAAGCTGATCCACATTAACTGAGCCATGCCTTGAAGCTGTTACTCATTAACTGAATCATGCCTTGATGCTGTTCCACATTAACAGAACCATGCCTTGAAGCTGTTCCTCATTAACTGAACCATTCCTTTGATCTGTTCCACATTGACTGAAACCATGCTTGATGCTGTTCCACATTAACTGAAATATGCCATGATGCTGTTCCACATTAACAGAACCATGCCTTGAAGCTGTTCCTCATTAACTGAACCATTCCTTTGATCTGTTCCACATTGACTGAAACCATGCTTGATGCTGTTCCACATTAACTGAAATATGCCATGATGCTGTTCCACATTAACAGAACCATGCCTTGAAGCTGTTCCTCATTAACTGAACCATACCTTCAAGCTGTTCCACATCAACTAAACCATTCCTTGAAGCTGTTCCACATTGACTGAACTATGCCTTGAAGCTGTTCCACATTAACTGAACCATGCCTTGACTACTGTTTCACATTAACTGAACCATGCCTTGAAGCTGTTCCACATTAACTTAACCATGCCTTGAAGCTGTTCCACTTTAACTGAACCATGCCTTAAAGCTGTTCCACATTAACTGAACCATGCTTTGAAGCTGTTCCATATTAACTGAACCATGCCTTGAAGCTGTTCCACATTAACTGAACCATGCCTTAAAGCTGATCCACATTAACTGAGCCATGCCTTGAAGCTGTTCCTCATTAACTGAACCATGCCTTGATGCTGTTCCACATTAACAGAACCATGCCTTGAAGCTGTTCCTCATTAACTGAACCATTCCTTGAAGCTGTTCCACATTGACTGAAACCATGCTTGATGCTGTTCCACATTAACTGAAATATGCCATGATGCTGTTCCACATTAACTGAAATGTGTCTTGATGCTGTTCCACATTAACAGAACCATGCCAAGAAGCTGTTGCACATTAACTGAAACATGCCTTGAAGCTGTAAACAGTTCAACATCAACTGAACCATGTCTTGATGGTGTTACACATTGAACCATGCCTATAAGCTTTATGCAGTAGATTAATAACAAACAAGTGTACTGCAAAGTTAATTGAACCTCAACATTGTCTCAAATGTTTGTTTTAATGTTACAATATATAATCAGATACCACAAATGCAATACAAAATTTAAAATATTTTATTGACATATATACATACATTATGTAAATTATACATATCATTTAGAAGGTGGTTAGGGTGACAAACTTCATCTATATAAACAATGGTGGCATTCTTATATTTGGTTATATAAGAGTTCATTATTCACACAAATAGTGTACAATTATGAAAAACAAAATTTACATAACACAGTAAACAAATAACAGATTTGATTATATACTGTTTTTATACGGTCTATAAAACTACTTTTTAGTTGTTCAGCTGGTCACAGAATCTGCAGTTTCAATTCTGAAATATGAAAATGAGACAGATTATTGGCAATGAAACACTTATCTAAGATGACAACATAGATTGATGAATAGAACCAGTCTCATCTTGAGCATTTAGCAATTGAGCCTTCTGGCTGGAAATGGCCACACTCAGATGCTATCAGTTCAACTCCCTGGCAGCAAATGGCCACACATGCTATCAATTCAACCACCTGGCTGGAAATGGCTACACACAGATGATACCAATTCAACTGCCTGGCAGGAAATGGCCACACTCAGGTTCTATCAATTCAACCACCTGGCTGGAAATGGCAGCACTCAGATACTATCAATTCAACCACCTGGCTGGAAATGGCTACACACAGATACTATCAATTCAACCACCTGGCTGGAAATGGCTACACACAGATACTATCAATTCAACAACCTGGCTGGAAATGATTACATTCAGGTGCTATCAATTCAACTGCCTGGCAGGAAATGGCTACACTCAGATTCTATCAATTCAACCACTTGGCTGGAAATGGCCACACTCAAATGCTATCAATTCAACCAGCTGGGTGGAAATGGCCACACACAGATGTTATCAAATCAACCAGCTGGCTGGAAATGGCTACACTCAGATGCTATAAATTCAACCACCTGGCTGGAAATAGTTACACACAGATGATACCAATTCAACCAGCTGGCTGGAAATGGCCACACTCAGGTGCTATCAATTCAACCACCTGGCTGGAAATGACCACACTCAAATGATATCAGTTCATCCACCTGACTGGAAATGGCCACACTCAGATGCTATAAATTCATCCACCTGGCTGGAAATGACTACACACATACGTTATCAGTTCAACCAGCTGGCTGGAAATGGCTACACTCAGATACTGGAAATAGCTACACACAGATGATACTAATTCAACCAGCTGGCTGGAAATGGCCACACTCAGGTGCTATCAATTCAACCACCTGGCTGGAAATGACCACACTCAAATGCTATCAATTCAACCACCTGGCTGGAAATAGCCACACTCAGATGTTATTAATTCAACCACTTGGCTGGAAATGGCCACAATCAGGTGCTATCAATTCAACCACTTGGCTGGAAATGGCTACACTCAGATGCTACCAATTCAACCACCTGGCTGGAAATGGCCACACTCAGGTGCTACCAATTTAACCAACTGGCTGGAAATGGCCACACTCAGATGCTATCAGTTCAACTACCTGGCTGAAAATGGCCACACTCAAATGCTATCAATTCATCCACCTGGTTGGAAATGGCTATACACAGATGTTATCAATTCAACCACTTGGCTGGAAATGGCCACACTCAGGTGCTATCAATTCAACCACCTGGCTGGAAATGGCCTCACTCAGGTGCTATCAATTCAACCACCTGGCTGGAAATGACCTCACTCAGGTGCTATCAATTCAACCACCTGGCTGGAAATGACTACGCTCAAATGCTATAAATTCAACCACCTGACTGGAAATAGCTACACACAGATGATACCAATTCAACCAGGTGGCTGGAAATGGCCACACTCAGATGCTATTAATTCAAACACCTGGCTGGAAATGACCACACTCGGATGCTATTAATTCAACCACCTGGCTGGAAATGGCCACACTCAGATGCTATTAATTCAACCACCTGGCTGGAAATGGCCACACTCAGATGCTATTAATTCAACCACCTGGCTGGAAATGGCCACACTCAGATGCTATTAATTCAACCACCTGGCTTGAAATAGCCACACTCAAGCGCTATCAATTCTACCACCTGACTGGAAATGGCCACACTCAGATGCTATTAATTCAACCACCTGGTTGGAGATGACCACACTCGGATGCTATTAATTCAACCACCTGGCTGGAAATGGCCACACTCAGATGCTATAAATTCAAACACCTAGCTTGAAATGGCTACACTATCAATTCACCACGATATTGAGAAGAAATAAAATTTGTTCAAGTACAAAGATATGATATCAGATATGACAGTGAAAGAGAATTACTTATGATATGGTGGGTCTTTCCTCGGTCTAATAATTCCTTCTCTGGATGGAGGTCTCGTTGACAATATGCGAACACCTGGTCCTAGTTTAGGAGGTTGTCCATTATGACAGCGATCATCATAATCATTAGCTGTCAGGATAGGTGATATCAAGTTAAGAAATTATAACAATAAGAAAACACAATCTACATTCACTCAATAATTGTATCTTACATCTATTTGGATATGTAAATATGTTATTTTTTTTTTTTTATATTGACACATTTGTCTGAAAAAAAAGAAAATTACAAAAATAGGCAAATTGGCTTGCCACACAATGGCATTTCATTTGGGGGTAGGCTAGTATATGTATTACACTAATATATATTAGTGACCTGCACAGATTTCAACTTAATTCTTATCAGGTCTGCGCATTATCACAAAGCATCACTAAAATCAAAGTTAAACTGTAAATAGCTCCTGTGTGATCAGAACATGTATAAAAGTATAGGCTTTGCCTAATAAGTGAATGTAATTGCATGTAGGTCAATCCATCAATAAAATTGATCAAGATGACTGAGAATCTATGACATACTGTATATGGAAACACATGAATTTGATATGGGCATTTTGAAAAACATGCAAGGACACTATACTTGTTTACAAAGGGCACTAATGAGGCACTCTATGAATGAGGTATTTCTAGAGGTCGGGGTTTGTCTCGTCTGCAGTTGAATAATTTTTGCATTGATTTTCTTATGTTTTTTCCAATGCGACTTAATTACACTTGTTTTTTTTTTAATTCTTGGTAATTAATGTCATTAGCGAAAACCGCAATTAACCTCAGTGCAGCAAATCAGGATAGATCTTCCTGATGCAATGGGCAAATTTCACTATTTTCGCTGACAAGTAAAATCTGCTAAATTAAACCAACGTGAACATGTAAAGTAACAACAGATTGTTTCCTTGACAGATTCTTGAAATTAAATCATCAAAATAGTACAACTAAAAAGTCTGTACAACATACCTAGAACAGATAAATAA